AGTGCTGCCACTGAGAAAGACATTGGGAATCTCAGGGAGCAGAATGGCATCAGGGATAGACGTTTACTTCTGAGATGTCTATCCATTCTGACATCTTAGGAACTTACACGGTACACTGGATTCTAAAATTTAACTTGTTACTACAAGTTCGTTATTTGTAACCTGCTCTGTTTTTCTTTGAAGTTATTTTCTGGTAGTTGGCTTAAAGAAAAAGTTTCTATTAGAGTCTTATCATTAACTATTACCCTCCATGGCTGCAGATGTAACTCTGTCACAAAATGGGGTGATTAGGGAGAAAGCAGGGAAGTTGAGATAATGGCATGAGTGGTAGCAACTTAGACAACCAGAGGAAAATAAGCTGAATCTTTGCTCCTAGAGATGGAGGGGCCGAGCAGTAGAGAGAGAGAGAGAGAGAAATGGCATGCTTTCGGTTTCTTTTCTAAAAATGTGAATGATCTTTAACAATGTCATTGATTTTAAAATTATATAAAATCTCATTAATTTTAAATATGATAAAAAAAAAGATTGTATTTTATTCAACAGGAATACAAACTAAATATGCTCAGGAAACCTTTGAACTGCAATGGCCAGTTCATGGGACAGAGACTTTGGTCAGGAAAGTTGGCGAAAAACTAAAAACAGACAAAATGCTGGCAGAGGTGCAGGCATCTGCCTCCTCACTTGCTCCTATCCCTCAGCTTTATTTTACCACTTCAGTGGACATCCATCTGTTCTGCATTTGTTTCCACTGATACGAGAACAGATAAACTTGTTTAGGGACAGAGAAGCCAGGAGTGAAAGGAATACTAGCTTATGCCTGAGAAGGAGCTGGGAATCAGCAGTGGAAGCCTGTTGTTTACAGATAAGTGATAATATTAATTACTATATATGTATAGTGTGTGTGTGTTTGTGTGTGTGTGTGTGTGTAAAAGGTGCTTTATATCTAATCCCTCACGTAAACCTTACAAAACCTATTGTAATTCCCATTTTAGACATTAAGTAGCCATGGCCCAGAGAGACTAAGAACACAATTAAATCACACCTAATGAAGTGATTTTTCTTTTATTGATTTTATTAGAAACAAAGAAAAGAAGGGTATAAGAAGGAAGAAGCACCTAGCTCTCTGCTTGGTACACGTTCGGTGTCTAACATGTGCTTGTTGACTATGTTAAGTCAGTATTTGAGGCTGTTCAGCTGTCCTTGGGAGCCTCCATCATAAAGCCGACTAGACAATAAAATATGCAAAATGTCTATATAGGCAGCAAGGGGCTTCCTGAAATAGTTGAGGTAGATTTTAAACTGAATTTTAAACTCCCGGCAAGTCAAGTTTCTCCCATTGTGTAATCTTATAATATTATGACATTCTTACCTCTGATCTTACTAAAGGGATGTATTTATAGCTGATTTTATAAATTCTTATGATTCACCCCATAAAGTCTGTCATGAACTGGAGCTTTAAAAGATGAGAAAAATATCCTTGTCTGTGTTAGAGTTATAGGAATTAAATAATATTCAAATGTTTTTTTCCAGTTTTATGCTATTTATAAACCGTTAAGAAAGGGCCCCTCTCTACCACCTTCCAAGAAGGGGAGTTCATTAAAGTTCTGTTTGCTGGGACATGACGATGACGATGACGATGACGATGACGATGACAATGAAGATGAAGAACATGTCTTTATTGCCTACTAAGTACCAGAAACTGATTTATGCTTTATTTTTAATCTTCACAATCACCCCTGGGACATGGGTACTTCGTATTTGACCAGTAAAGAAATTGAGACTCAATGAGTTTATTAATTATCCAAGAAATAGCAATATATAAATAACAGAGATAGAATTTATTCCAAATTTGAGGTCTTTATGATGCAAATTTAAATAAGGAATTAAACAAACAACTCTAACAAAAATACCAGCTTCCCAAACTCTGTCATTGTTCCCAGTGCTTCCTCTGGGCCAGAAGTTCTAGGGAATCGCCGGACGTCAATTAAATAGCCAAGGAGCCTGTCTCAGACTTGGATCCATGAGTATCAGTGATTAGGCTGATTCTCCTTTGCTCTGGCCTCTGGGAATTTGGTTGATGCATGAATGTGTGAAATATATCAGCAGTGAGATAATAAAATTTCTATGGCCCCAGCAATGCCTGCAAAGTTTATTTATGAATATGATGCAGGAAGTGATAATTAATCCTCTGGACATTTCTTAGCTCTTTGAAGAGTCAGAGTCTGCATGCTATCTGGAGCAAAACACATGTCTGTTCAGTTATTTTACAGTTAAACGTGGAACCTCACGGGTCTCATCAGCAATCGTTGTTCCTCAGAAAAATGGCTTTTGGTTTTCTTTCCATAATACAACAGATTGAAATGCTTTGTAATGAGCACTTTCTTATGCTCAGGATTTGGTTGAGAGCTTGTCAATGCATATGCCTCTGGGTTCTTAAATCCTTTCTGAATTTCTGTGATCATCCTGGAGATAGGTTGTAGGGACATTTTGTAAGTGCCTGGTATATATAGGCAAGTCAGCTTCTTAGTTTTCTTTGTAGCTCTCTACTAAATCAGAAATTAGAATTTCATTTTGCAATATTTCTCAAGGAGCTTATCAATAAACTATTATCAATAAAGTTAAATACTTTTTAAATATTATTCCAAACTGTTTAATGATGCTTGTCTTTGGTGGGGAATATTTAATATGGATGTCTTTTTTTCATGGTGTTCACATTTGAAATAAAGAATGTGAATACCATTTCTAATGAAAAAGAAATAGCTAAAGAGAGAAAGGAATTATCTGTCTATGTATCTATGTATCTATGTATGTATCTATCTATCTGATAGCCATTTATCTGATGTCTATCTACCTACCTACCTACCTATCTATCCGTCCTTCCATGTATCTATCTGGCAATCCATCTATTGTCTCAAGCTGATATAGAATAAAATAAATAGATGCACATACATAAGTAGAGATGCATAATCTATGTAAATATATACTGTTTGGATTGAAATACACTAAAATATTAACACCACAAAACTGTAGGCATAAAATTGTGGGGATTTTACTTTTCCACATTTTCATATAGTCAAAACTTGATTATATAATAAATTTCACAAAAATATATAAAAAATAACACATGATCAGGACCAATAGCCATGAACCATATTTCATAATTAGTGTCAGAGGGTATCAGTGAATAGAGAGATTTCATGGATACTTCCCAGGAGGCCACCTCAACCATAAAGGCTTTCTTCAGTCCCCCTTCTAAAATGGGATTGTACATGAACTTTGTCTTAGTTTGGGCTGCTGTGGATGTGGAATGCCATAGACTAGTGGCTTCTTTCTACAGGAATTTCCTCTTCACACTTCTGGAGGCTGGAAGTCCAAGATCAAGGCACTCGCAGGTTCTGGTTTTGGTGAGACCCTGATTCCTGGTTTCCAGATGGCTGTCTTCTTACAATATCACCGGTAGAAACCAGAGAAGCATCCTGTATCCACTCTTCTTTTTAAAATAAAGGAATTAATTCCATCGTAAGGGCCCAGGCCCCTGACATAATGCAATTGTAATTATCGGCTGAAGGACTTAGAAATTCTAGCACACTGGGAGTTGAAATTTTTAACACACGAGTTTCAGGGAGTCACAGATCTTCAACCCACAGCGTCCTACTTGGGCCTTCATTCTATCCTGTTTCAGTTCATTTCACTGCTTATTTATGGGTCGATTTTTCCAGTGACGCCTTGTGTTTCTTAAGCCATAAACCTGATTGTATGTGACATTTCATAGCCAAAGCAGAGATCTTGGTTTATAAAAAGGATAAATGTTGTAGAAAAATAATTCCTATATGAACTTAATACTTAGTATAGCTGAGAAGCAGATGGCTCTAGACGCAAAACACCATAGTGTTCTCTTATCTGAAAATTTTCTTAGACTAGGAACTACAAAGAAGTCCATTTATTTTTTTAAAATATTGTATTTGTTTTTTTAGAGAGAGGGGAAAGGAGGGAGAAAGAGAGGGAGCGAAACATCAGTGTGTGAGAGAAACATCAGCTGGCTGTCTCTCACATACTCCTAACTTGGGACCTGGCCCACAGCCCAGGCACATGCCCTGACTGGGAATCAAACCAGCGACCTTTTGGTCTGCAGGCCAGTGCTCTATCCACTGCACCAGACCAGCCAGGGCAAGTCCATTTATTTTTATTTTTATTATTTTACTCATTTGCTTTTTTCTTTGTTTTAATGTATTTATAAATATAACTTTATTTATCGTTGTTCAGTTACAGTTGTCCCCCCTTCCCCCCTTTGCTCTCTCCTACCCCCTCCCACTACCACGGTCAGTCCCCCCCCATTGTCCATCTAAGAAGTCCATTTAAAATTCTCAATTTCATAGAATGTAGTATTATAAATCTGTTAAAATATCTATTCCAACTTTTAAGGATTGTTACTAGAGAATCCGCAACTATCTGATTTCTATGGACAGAGACTAATAGAAAACCTAAACTAAACTACTTAAACTAAAAACAGAACAAACCAACAGCAGCAAAAACAAAAGCATGCTCATGTTGTCTAGTCAAATACAAGTTTAACACAAACACTCATTTCCTTTGAACTGCCATAAATTACATGCTGCCTAGCACCATCCTGCTTTGGGCTCGAGTTCATTGTTTTATATGATATTTTGTGGCAACTGCTAATTATCATAAGCTGTCCAATAAATGTGATGGATTGACCAATTAACTCTTCATCAGCATCCATTTTTGAAGATGCTACCTATTGAAACTGATGGCAGTTTATGACCTCCATGTTGCATATGTAGCTAATTATTCCTTGGACAATAATTATCAAGCTTCTTGTGCCTCATTCGGTCATTTTGTTTTACAAATTATGATGCCACTGAGTTTCCCAATTCATTTGACTGCCCAAAGATGGCTCTCCAAGGATTACTAAAGGTCTGCTGTGGAATGCGTGGACCCCATGAACATTGAAGTAGATCACAGATGTATCTGTTTTGTAGGTTTTCCATCGACCGGCACACTGACCTGGAGAGACAATTCAACATTAATGCCGATGATGGGAAGATAACGCTGGCAACACCACTTGACAGAGAGTTAAGTGTGTGGCACAACATAACGATCATTGCTACTGAAATTAGTAAGTGCCTGGGTTTAATTTTTTCTTTGCGTGACTGGGTTCACTTTATGCCTAGTGATCACATGATAAATGGTCCCTGTTTTCATTAAATAGTTTGGCACTGGAACGTATTTTACTTTTCTGAAGGAGCCTTTGAATGAATCATGTCAGCAAGAAATAACTTACATTGTGTTAAATTATTGAAGGTTGCAATATACGTGGGAAGGAAACTTTTTTATATCCAAATATTCTTATAACTCATACCTATTATTCAATCATTAAAAGCAATGTTTTGCATATTAAAATATACGGAAAGGTTTAGTATAAAAGAGTGGGTAAAAAAAATAGAACTCAAGGACTTTATACTATAATTTAAATAAGTAGACACTAACATATATTTTATACAATAGAGAAACTATCACTCACATACTTTAAGCTCACACATACACATATAGAGGCAGAAAATACAGACAGAAACTTCACACCATCAATACTACTATTTTGGGAAGATGAAATTATAGATGATTTTTTATTTTGGTTTTTAGAGTTTGATGTATTTCACACATTAATTATACACCATTTAAAACTGTATCTTCAATATATTTCTTTTCATATGTGACACACGAACATGTACACATTTTTCCAGAGGACATTCTAGGGTTGTTAAAAGAACGTGTTAGTCTTTCTGTCCATTTTTAATGCTGATAGCTTCTTTGCGCTTAACAACACTACTTCTGAGTCTCTAAAGAATGGCTAGATGGTGAAACTGAGTGCTATGCTGTCTTTGAGAACTTGCAGCACTCTGCCTTACCATTTTTATTATTATACAGAAACATGCAAAAGGGATATGATATTCATTTTACTTCCAAACAAAACATATTTTGCATATTATCAATTTCAAGGGAGACATTCAATTCTCAAGGGAGCTGGGAATCCGAATCGGGAAATTAAAAACTGACTTGAAGAAAAAATTCACAGACACAAATACAGTATAGGGTATGCAGATGGTAATTATGGGGTATGGAACCTAAAATCTGCTCTGTGCTCTCTCTAAAGTCTGCTTTTTGTGTTCACAACTAATGTGAAAATGAGAAATATCTCTGAGATACATGATCGATTTGTTTGTACAAATAAAAGCAATCCAGACCTTCAGGAAGGACATGGGTTTTTCTTGTTCTGAGATGGGAAAATGTCCTCCATGGGGGCCTTAAAAAATGAAAATAAAATCAACACTGTGTGAAAAAGTAAAGAGTCAAGAGTGAGGAATGTGTGCTTCTTATAGCAACCTCAAGTGTAGGCACAGAACACGCAGTCAAGCTGATATGTAGTTTCAACTCTACTTCATAGAGGGGCCTGGAGAGAGAATGTACTTTGGACACAGGGTGTTTTTCCTGGCTTAGAAGTATCATTTTCTTCCCCTGTGTGTTACCAAGGTAGTCATTTCCCTTGTAACGTTAAAGGATAAAGCTAACGAAGCCTACCACTGGGTGGTTTTGACTTATTAGAAGTGTTAACCAAATCCGGAGAGGTATAGGCATAAAGTTTTTCTAATTTGTAATGTTGATGCTGCATGATCACCTTAAGCTTCTGAGGAAAACTATCTGTTTAGATTGGTTTAAAGGTATATCAAAACACTCAGAAAGATCAGTTTTTGATACAGTATGTAGGTAATAATTACTTTTAAAGGAACTTTCTTGTGTATTGAATACAACCTAGTTGAGCCAGTTTTCATCCAAGACACTTTTTTATGAGATGGATGCCTTCATTTAAATATTTATCAAGGAGATCCTAATTATAAGGATCCATATACTCCATTTTTAGGAGAAAAAACACATGGATAACCAGAGCGGTGGTTAACAAACAAACCAGAAACAAAACACTCATTTGCAAGAAATCACAGACAAGTAAGAAGACAGACATAAAAGCTGATGCTGAAGGGTAATGAGCTGTGAATTCCAGGTCAACAGAGGTACCAACCCAGTCAGAGAAGATGTGCATTTGCTCATTCACTCAACAATTGTTAATTGATTCTAAACTACATGAGGATAGAGCAGTGAGCAAAACAGGCATAAACACAGGTGCTCTTGGAGTTTTCTTTCTAGTGGCACCTGGAAGCCCCTGCACAAGAAAGAGTAGGAATCTGCTGGGAGATCCACAGAGAAGGGCACAGAGGTAAGGAAGAAGGCGATGAGTGTAGGCATTACAAGCAGTTCCGTGGTGATGGTATGGAAAAACGTGTCACGGCATACTTCGCTCAATGGGCATATAGTTATGTTTAAAAGTTGTAGCATGATAAATATGAAAAAATAAGACTTTATGTCTATCAGTAAAATAAATATTAAGATGAGCTTTTGTTTAATTCAAAGTATGTATATTTTTCATTCAATATAATTTTGTGTTAGTTTCAGGTGTGCAGCATAGTAGTTAGAAAATCAGGCACTTTACAAAGTGTTGCCTGATATTCCCCGTATCTACCTTGGCAGTATCTGAAGAAACCCAAGACACTAATTTGAAAGGATATATGTACTCCTGTTTTTATAGCAGCATTATTTACAATAGCCAAGATCTGGAAGAAGCACCAATGCCCATCAATAGATGAGTGGGGAAAAAAAACTGGTACATACAATGGAATTCTACTCATCCATAAAAACAAATGAATTCTCACTATTTGTGACAGCATGGATGAACCTAGAAAAGTTTATGCTAAGATTATCTTTAAAGTAGTAGAGTATTATTATTATTATTGTATTATCAAATCACCAAAACATATTAAAATGTTCACCAGATAAAATTGTCTATATGGCTTAAGGGAAATAACTCAAAAGTTCCCAGGTTCAGGTTTACGGTTGGCTCCCTAAAGAGAAAAAGCGCAGCACAACCCTGCCTACAGGAGGACCACAGGCCTGTCCGTGAACCTGGAAGAATTTAAAATCTATAACTCAACCTGACATCACTCTGTTCTCACAATAGGAGTTATCTTACCTTTTAAATTAATTAATTAGTGTATTTGTTTTTATTCAGAGATTGAAAACTAAACAAAAATGCATAGACACATTTTGGCCAAGAAGCAAACTTAATTCAGGAGGTTGACATCTCAAGAAATATGAAATTATAAACTTCAATAGCAGTCGGATTTTTAGAACTTTTTCCATGTTGCTTTCTTACCATCAGGAAGAATAAGAGTATTAAAGAGAACTTTAATTGTTAGCTGTAAAATATAAGCTGAGGTGGGCGTAAATTTAGAAACTTTAAAGGTACAATTAAGTCATCTTTTTCTAAATCATTCAAAGAAGTAGAATACAACCACAGAGAACTTAAGAAAAATCATAGCTACTAAGAAAATGGCTTAGTAACTTGTTTTGACTTGGTTTTATTATTTAGCTCATCACATAATGTTTACCTTGCAAAGCCACACACCAGGTCTTGGGGAATAAATATGAAAGGGAGATTTATTGTATTTGGATGAGATGAATATTTAAAACCACCCAGGACAACAGAACCCCTTAGGGAGAGGTTCTAATAAAGTTAAAGAAATATTTATTCCAGGCAGAACAATTTAAAATTACTCTCAGTACACCATCTCATCAGGCAAAGATTTAAACAAATGAAATTAAGCTAAAAAAAATGGATTTTAGGAAGTCCATCTGTTAGCTCTTAATGAGAATGAAGATGTTGTTTTTTATCCTCTTGTGTCAGATTCACTTAAGCAAGGCTGAGATGCTTCACTGTGTGCATTTCCCAGCTATTTTGCTGGTAATAGACCCAGCTTGCCATCGCAGTCAACCAGGGCATCTCCTTACAGGAGCTAGCTGTCAGGTGCCCAGGTGCTAACAGGAGATTGGCTTATGTAGCGTATCTCGGCTAGTAGCAACTCCATCCCTTGCAACTATCGCGCAGGGCTGCTGTTTACCATGGTGCTGACACTTGGCTGACTAATTAAACACCGAAAAAGCGTTCTGGAAGCCCTATGATGCATTTAATTCTCATCCTGCCCTGTGAAAGTAGGTACTATTACTATACCCGTTTTTGAGACACAGGAACTCAGACACCAGCTACGTAACTTGCCCAGGATTTCATAGAGAGCAAGGGGTGGGTCGAGGATGTAGTACCCGTACCCACGCTGTTTAATGACAGAGTCTGTGTGCTTTGATGCCTTCCACGGAAGAAACCTTTCAAGTCTTCGCTTTCACTCGTCCGTTTACATGGAGCTCTGACGCCAGCAATCCTTTCCAGAAGCAAGCGAATGAATTAGCTTTGTGCAAAGCAGAAGGCAGGCGCAGGGACCAGGGTGCTGGGGAGGAAATAACGAGCGCACAGTACATCGGGCGTTTCTCCTCTAACGCTGTAACCCACGGTAGGACGAGTGCAGAAGGGACAGAGCAGAGCTTTGGAACTGTTCAGGCTCGAATTCTCTCCGCATTGTAGAGGTCGGGAATTGAGCAGCAGGGAAGAGAGAGAGCACGTAAGAGTGCATTGGAGGGGCTGGCATGTTTCAGTAAAGAACACAGAGAAGTTAACTCGCCCAGCTGATTCGCGCCACCTGGGTGGGTAACCGTTAAAACCAAACCCACCGAGTTCTGGGTCTTCCCCAGCACCTACTGAAACCCAGCCTCAAGGCAGGGATTCAGGATCCAAGTTTCAAAGGTTCTTCCCACCTTCCCTCTATCCGACCCCAACGCCCCAGTCAGAAATGCATTATCCCAGCACTGTGAAGGAAGGCAGAAAAAGGTAAGGTGTCCCCCGCCTCTTTTTTTTAATTGAGTGTATTGGGATGACATTACTTAATAAAATTATATAGGTTTCAGGTGTGGAGAAGCCTGCAGGCACTTTGTACCTGGGATCAGGCAATCGGCATTTGCAGAAAGCACACTACTCTTGGTTACCTGCAAGTGTTTTAAAGCAGGAGGCATATAATTGCCCATTAAATTAATCTCTTTCAGTTAGTGGTAATGCATTGCTCTGGCCCACTACAGTGGGCTGCACGCAATATTGCAAATGAAGCTTTTCACTAATGATGGTTA